TAGGGGTCACTCTGAAATTCGGAGGTGGCGGGACACGGAGATAGCGGGAGGTAACCGTGTAGACTTTCCAACGAGCTTACTCCCACCACTTTCAGACAACCTGTCGCTGAACAGTGCTCTGCAGAAAATGGATCGGTTTTTTGCCACACCCTGTACTTTATAACACTATGGCTATATTCAATATTGAATACAACACTATATTGGATATAAAACGCTAAATAGTGTTATTATATATTCAATGCTAATTCGTAATGATTGTCATTCGAAAGTCTTTGGGAAACTACAAGAAAACATATGATTTGGTAAAATAAAACACGTTCAGCTAGCACGTGACGTCACTATGCACACATTTTGTAAAAAACGGCAATTGGCGGAGAGGGGGAACGTACCCTCCCTCGCCGTTACCTCCCCTACATGCACTAAAAATTTCGCGCAGGTCGTTTTCTAAACGGCCGACCTATAATACAGAACGTTGTGATTATTCGAACCTACAAAACAGTTGGTGAAAGTAAACATCTGCTTTTAAATTATATTTATTTGTAAACATTGTAGTTCAAAAAGTCTGACATCGTCCCACTTAAAACCCTTTGGGGCGGAGCCCTTTTGATGGATCTGCACCAAACTTCACACAAACCATCCTTGAAAGATGATTAATAATTCCTGAAAGTTTCATTACAATCTGTCGAGCAGCTTCAGAGTCCATAACATTCAAACATACATATATATATATATATATTAAATATTTAAGTAAATAAGTACAACTGAGCACCCTGAATATTATATTTTATAAAAAGATTAAGAAGTGACATGTTTCGGACATAAGTCCATTTTCAAACTTCAAAATACATTAAACACTTAACTGTAGTTTATATTGTTTGTTTGTAAATAAATATAATTTATATATACATATGATTTACTCTACTATTTACTCCAATTTTTTATATAATCTTTAAACTTATCTTTATTTTTACACGTTCTCATAGCACATAGTACATTTTTATTTTTTAAATCTTAAATTATTTCTTCAATTTCAAATTAGCTCAAAAAATATATATATAATTTTTAACAACTCGAGTCTACGCACAGACCACTGAGGTCCATGTAGACTCATTTCCATTATCTGTTACTGTACATTAGTTATTATTCAAGCCGGAGCAAACATTCAACTAGTATTTTAGTTTTTATTATTATAACTTTATAAATTTAATTTTACTAGAATTAATTACGTAATCATTTTACTCTATAACGCTTCAAGACTACATATATTTGTATTTTATTTTTGGAAAAATTGTAAATGTTTTATATATTGTGGAAACTGATTTGATTTATAGAATTAGACAGGATTTGGAAAAACATTTTTGCTACTGATTATTTAATTACTTAAATATTTAATATATCAGCAGCCCTATCACGTGAACACCTAAATTAAAAAAAAAAAATATATATATATATATATATACATACAAACTTCCTCTCTTATAGATATAGATTATCTAACCTATTAAAGTATAAACTACGAGGGCTATCCAGAAAGTAAAGAATGTTTCGTTATGTCGCCGCTAGGCGCGTGCCGATCTTGTACATTTTGCCAGCAACTCAGTCAGCGTCGAGCCGTGACAACGGGAGCATTCTCACACTGACCGTTTTTTCACAACTTCAACTTAAGATGAGCGCTGTGATTAAAAATACCGCCAGTTAAGAGGTGCGGTCAGTAATACGGTTTGTGTTGTACCGGTTGTTGTGTGACTTGCGATGGGTTCACCCCTTTCCAGTATTCTTGCAGAATTTTTCCGATACCACGTTGAAAATATGCATCTATGGAAAAACTGCACAAACAAGCTCAAAAGCAAAATAGTGTTTTATTACCGATATGTGGATGATATCCTAACATTTTATGAAAGTAATAGCAGGCAATTTTGACTTTTCAGCAACTACATGAACATCTTTCATTCTTATCTAAATTTCACCATTGAATTATGAGCCAACAGCATGACATAGACAGAAATCCCACAGCAACAGACACTACCATTCGTGAAACTTCCCACCACTCTTTAGCTCATAAACTGGGAGCTTACAATAGCTTTGTATGTAGATGATTGCTCTCACTCCCAATCAATGCCATAAACTTTGAAAATACGAAAAATAGCATCAATTATATAGCCGTTAATAATGGCTTTAATTCTAACATCATCGACTCATTAATTGGTGTAGGAAGAAAATTAATGAAAAAACTACAGATCCAAGGCCTAAAATAAAAACAAAATTAGACTCAGTTGCATATAGTGAAAAAAATCACCTCACTAAAAAAAAATTATCTAGCTAAACTGTAGGGTTTAGAACATCTAACAGAATTCAAAATCTTGTTAAACCTAGCAGAGCGCAACAAAAATGCTAAAAATCTGAGTGAAAAGTGTGGAGTGTACAAAAAACATGCAATGACTGTGATAAGTTTCATATTGGCCAGAAAATCTGACCATCAGGCCATTTATTAAGAGATTTAAAGAACACCTTCCCAAAAATAATTTAATACAATAATCTAATTCAAATTTCGCAGAGCCACTATTCAACAGTAATAACAATTATTTCAGCATGAATGAAAATGTAAAAACTTTGCATACTTAAAAAATGTGAGTAATCACAGCATTAGAGCAATATGAATTTTATAGAGCAGCACAAGGGCGGTCCTAGACATATATTTTGGGGGGGTCATCGGGGGCCCGGGGGGTATGGAATACCCCCCAGCAAAGGAGGGGGTCCGGGGAAAAATTTGGAAATAACGTTCTAAAACGAGTGGTTTTGAAGCTATTTTGAGGGCCTAGTTTAATGTGTTCAATCTTCCCAGTTTATTTAAAGGTCAAAGAAATGTCTAAAAATAAACTTGTACGAGGCATGTTTTTTAAGTAAGTACCGTTTTTAAATTTCTCCGTTCCAGCACTGCGATTGGAATTTTTTACCTTTGCGCTGTGTATGGGCATCTATTGGTAAGACCTAGCCGGAAATTTGAGAACAATCGGCCTTGTTTACATCCAGATTTAAGCATTCAAAATGGTGCCACCAATTGAGACTGCCGCCGACTGTGAAGTGCGCGCTGTAATTATTTTTTTAAGTTCTAAAGGTGTGAAAACAATTGATAATCATCGACAGATTAGTGAGGTTTATGGCGAGAACATTATGAGTGCCTTAATGGTACGCAAGTAGGTAAGGGCATTTAAATACGGCTCCCCCAACGTTCATGATGAGTACCGCACTGGGCGGCGTCATTACCATTAAAGTATTATATTGTCTGTGTCATTACTGTCCCCGTTGTCCGTACCCAGTGCGTTGCTCATCATGAACGTTGGTGGGGCTATCTTAAAATGCCCTTACCTACTTGAGTACTATTCTGTCACTCATAATGTTCTTGCCATACACTTCACTAATCTGTCGATGATATTCAATAGCTTTTACACCTTTAGCACTTAAAAATCTAATTACAGCGCGCACTTCACAGTCGGTGGCAGTCTCAATTGGTGGCTCCATTTTAAATGCTTGAAACCGGATGTAAACACGGCCGATTTTTCTCGAATTTCCGGCTAGGTCTTACCAATAGATGCACATACACAGCGCAAATGTCGAAAATTCCAATCGCAGTGCTGGAACGGAGAAATTTAAAAACGGTACATACTTAAAAAACATGCCTCGTACAATGTCATGTCTTTGCATTATTGAGGCTTGGGGTTTTAATATCTAAGGAATACCGCAACATTACAACACATTCAAGCATTATTGATTTACGAAAACACCCTTTCAACTCATGGTGGATGTATTTTTGTTTCCACCATGGTTTCAACTGGGTGCCAATGTGCATGCTAAACGGAAAATGTCCAAAATCAGACCAAGATTTCGAACCAGAGAACTTATTTGATCTAAGAAGTGTTTAAGAACTTTGACCCAAAACGACTGCATTATACCTGCCCCGTGCCCAGTAAGCAACAGTTAACCTACACAAAGTACATTACCGGTACCCGACTAACGTTGCCGTCGGCGTCCCACTGCTACCGCCTGGAGAATTGGTTCTCAGTGTTCTCATTTTTTCTACGCCAGTGCCAGTGGCATTTTACAAGGGGTCAACGTGAGAATAAAGTTTTTGTGCAACGATTTTGTGGTTGTGCTGGGAATTAAATCTGTCCCTTCCACATCTAAGTCTGAGACACTACATTTTGTTGTTGTGTTATGGCTAGCAACATGCCAATTGGGCTGTCGTATTCTTAAATATGATATCAGGTGCTCTAAATATGAATACTATTAATATTGAAAGTTTTGAAATTTGCTATGGCAATCATTGAATTACATTACTGTAATTACAAATTCCTAACGCTCAACTCAGATAAATTAATATTCAACTACCTTTCAAGCTTTGACTATTGATTCAACTTCTTTTCTTTATCCAATACCCAAACCCAATTCAAGTTTTCAATCATCTAGGTTAAAATGAATGATAAATGCCGAAAAATTAAATAAGAAGAAGAATGCGACCGAACGTCAAATGTCAGCAACGGACACTGCCGTTGCTGTATATGGCTGAAAGCGTCCGTCGTCTGCCGATCTTCCCTACTTTTCATAACGTACAAAAAACAGTCAGACTCGAACGATAAGTTTTAGGTTAGAGTTTGTAATTAGTCCTTTCATTCGCCACAAATGTAAAGACTACAATGAATTTCAATTTGGCAGAACGATTTGCAATAAAAATTATTAAAGTTCCCCTGGTATAATAGTTTATATATATAAAAAATATTTTGGGGGGTCATGACCCCCCTGACCCCCCCCCCCCTCTGGGACCGCCCTTGGGTTCTAATTAAGTAATGTTCAGTTCATATTTGAGGTGTTTGTATTGATAAGCGGGATTTTATTTTCAATGTGTAGCATTTTAACAGCAAATCCCCGTTTTGGATCATTATGATATTCTCTAGCATGTAGCAAATTATTGTAACATTTCAAATTTATTGTTTAGCCCATCTGAACGAATCAATTAAGGTTTTTAACAAGGTTTGACCTTTTTCAGAAGTGAAGACAGATGAGTTCAGACGTAAGGAAGTAGAATCTAATTTAATGACAAGAAAACTAATTGAGATAATCCCTGATATAATATTTTAAAGAATCACTTGAAATGCTATGTTTACAATTTGGCAAATTTATTTATTTCATCCTATACTATTGACTTATGGTAAAAACAACTTTTAACCTTCCCCGTAGCAGCAAACCTAAGCACTCGTTGAATCTAATGTTATTGAAATTGGGAATTAATATGCCTTATTTATGGAAATATTTTAGTAAAAATTAAAAATGTAATCAGACAAGTTGAAATTCCCTTAGTCTGCTGCGGCGGGGGTATTTAATATATAGGCTATGATATGGTAAGATTGTTATCTAGTTTTTACTTAGTCCCTAGTCAACTGTTACCTAGTCTTTCAAACACTTTGTTTAATTACCTCACTTTTGTTTCATATCCTATATAGTGCTGTGTTTTTCAAATGATTCTAGCTTATTTATTTTCTTGTTGTCTTTGTTATATTTAAGTTTAGTGAAGATTCCATGTTATAGACCATGTTATACTAGGCTATCTAGAATCTATGGTCCTTTTTGGCACTTTTTTTGTTAACGAGGTCTATTGTAACGTCTGTTATTTAATGACCAATAAAGATTTATTTATTTATTTATATGTATACTAGCTGTACCCGCAGGCTTTGCCCTGTTAAACTTTATAAGTGAGCTCGTTCGCATGGCTCAATCATGTCCTGGATGAAGTTCGTTCGCTACACTCACTTTTAGGTTGGAGCTCGTTCGCTGCGCTCACTTGCCTTCAGGTTAGCTCGTTCGTTACGCTAACTCGCCTCCGGGTTTAAGTTCGTTCGCTACGCTCACTTGAACCTTTTTGTTGCAAATTAGCTGTTGTCATAAATTTAAAAGTAATAATAGTGCTGCACCCTGTTGGTAATCCTTGTAACTTAAATGCTATTGAACATCATAGAACAGAACCAACTTGTTTAATTAAAACAGCTGTTAAGATTCATTAATTCAATTTCAATATGAGTACTCATAAGGTTAACATGAGAAACTCCAGAGCCACTGGGGCGGATCCCGAGAGTCCGATCAGAATAAAAACAGCTTAGTTTTCCTTTTTAATGCCTAAAGAATCAGTAACCCAAATTTCAGCCTCATAGGTAAATGGGAAGTAAGAGAATTAGTGATGAGTGAGTGAGTCAGTCAGTTAGTGAGGGCTTTGCCTTATATTTATATATATATATATATAGATATGTATGAATTTGAATGGATGTTGTTTTTGACCTCTGGGAACCTCAAAACAAAAAAGTAAATCGGTCCCGGGTCCAGGTCTTACCATGAGACCTACGGTAATAGCTTATTCCCTATATGGGAAATTCGCTAAAAGCTTTTTTTAAATACCACGTTTTAATACAAATTAAAAAGTTGAAAATCATTTTTTAATATGTAGAGAGAAAAAAATACTGTAAGATTTAAAACAAAAATCGTAGGGCGCATGCAATAAATAAGTTAGGATAATAAAAATGATTGTATATTAGCTATTGCATGCGCTCCATGTTTTTTGTTTTAAATCTTACAGTAATTTTTCACTATATATTTATAAATTATTTTATATTTTTTAGTTCGTTAAAAAACGAGGTACAGTAAAGCAGAGTCCATAAAGGACAAACAAACAAACATACATACATATAAGCAAGCATACATTGGATTTTATATACATAGATTATATTCAACCTTAAGTAAATGTAACATTTCAGATGAGCGGTAAGATATCTATCTTGCCAAAGTAACAACGGCTGGGCCCACAATTTGTTGGAGGAAAGTCTGTTGGTGGACTGTTTCCTTTACTTCATAATTGCTGAAATCCAACAGAATCATCAAGGGAGTGTTTAATATTGCCAAGAAACTCATTCACATTGCCAAAGTAAGTAGGGCCTGAAGTAACATACTAAGCCTTTAAAACCTAATTATTTGTGGTATTCAAACCTAGGATTGAAATAATTAATTATTAGGCTATTTAACTACCCAGGTATTTATAATTGCCAGGGGCGGACTGGGTACTCTATTAGGGCGTAAACCTTGACCAGCCCGAAGGCGCCAACCGGGGAGTCTGGGGGGTATGGAATACCCCCCTGTACAGAGGGGGGTCTGGGGGTTCTCCCCCGGGAAATTTTTTAAAAATTATACCTGTAAACTCGCATTTTTAGGCAATCTAGAGGCATTAACAGTGGAAAATCAGAAATCTGATAACTGACGCTATTAGTCAATGTTTGGTTTACAAAATTTAGACTATTTACCCACACGACTTGGTGCTATTCTGACAGTAAATATCCTGACAAAAATAAAAATACAAATGACTTTCTTAGGTTCTTTCGTATTATATTTGTGTATTTTCTTAATTTTCCCTTGCATGACTTGGCTGCATGCATAAAATATAAATCAATTGCTTCCTGTTTACAACCTGAACTTTCAACTAATGTATTTTTTGGCACTGTAAATAACAGAAGTTATATATTTTAGATTTCTAGGAAATTATTTTAACACAAACAATATGCTTTCACTGTGAACAAAACCAATTTATTGACTTAAACTTTTTTAGAATTACATTAAGTCAAAACTGTAACCCTAAAGTAGGCCTACCTAACCTATTTCTACAAACGAAATAGCCTAGAGAGAACTACGAAGGTATTTTGAGCTGGCTATCTGTAAGTAGAATAGGAAAGTTGACCAAATTAGTGCCATAGTGCATATTGAAATAATTAATTAATAGGCGGTAGCCACATACGGTATTAAAATAATGTTTACTGTTTAACCTTTACTGTGTAATGGTTAAGTTAACAAATACACTGTCACTAAATCTAATTTAAATTTTGTAAAAGTAGTGATTCTACAATACTGCTTTCGTTCATGTTTCCTGTGTAGGTAAATAATATAAAAATAAATTGAAGCTTTCGATACAGAGACACAAATCAGACACTCACTAAAGAGAGACACATTGTAATTGGCAGCCCACACTCTTTATTTATTTATTACATGCACGGCAAACGCCATTTTACAAGAGAGTTCAGTTGACATTGATAAAAATTAATTGTGACTTAAAGTGAAATAGTTATAGTATGAGCAATAATTAAATATTATAACAAATATGAATAATATTAAATTATCTTCACTAGAGTTGTTTACCACAGACGACATCGTGACACCGACCGATGTCGGATGCAGTCGCAGTGCAGTTTTTTTTTTGGGTTCGGCGTAAAATGACGCGGGAAGAGGACAGCTGTTTTAAGTACCTCAGACCACAGAGTAAAGAGTGCCTTCCACTCGGAGTAGGCCTACACGTACGAGAGAGAAGAGCTGCTTTGCTCTCGCTTGTCGACAGTGTCTATTCAGGTCTCACACCCGACTTTATGTTTTGCTATTCACTGCTGAAACTTTTACTCTAAGTTTTTCCTCTTTTTCCGCTTTCTAAAAACACATCTCGTCTCATTTTTTAAAATTTTTTATGAATTTTTCCTTTAACGAGGGCGCAAATATTGGAATGTTGAGAAGGCGTATCGGCCCACCGGTGGGCCGGCGGGCCAGTCCGCCCCTGATAATTGTATGTCTTAATAGGCCACCTATTTTTTATAAACACCCGGATAATTATTTATGATATTTCAGCTACACGCCAACCAAAGTTTTTAGATAGTCAAAAGAAAATATAATAATAAGTTAGTCAATTGTTATGATGCAAGCCAAACATGTGCTTCACACAAAGCTCTCTTAAATAATACACTGTGATTTGTAATTTGTGATACATGTTTTGTTTTGTATTTTACTGAACATGTACAAACTCGATAACTTGGGTATTACTAAACCACAGTAAAAGCAACAAATAAATAATACAGGTCTGTTCATTGCCTAAAATAAAGACAGTGGAGGACCAGGTGTCATGTCTGAATTCGCACACCTTGTTAGGTAGCCCTGGGACCAGCTTTAAGTTACCCATGTCAGGGATTTTGGTAGAATTTTGGATTTGTTTACTAACAAAACATATGAAAGTAAAATTTAAAACAGGTGATGCAAATTAATGAAATGAAATGAAATGAAATGTGTTTATTGTCCTTAGAATTTTCACAAATTATTGACAAAGTCATACAACTGCTAAGGTTTATAGCATAGTCAGTTAATAAATACAGTAAGCTACAATATAGCTAACTACATAAAATGAGACACTTTACAATACACATTTTAAATATTACAATTGAATAGGTAATCTTAATCGTAAGAAAAATTTGTGGCATTGAAAATAATGGAAGTGATTAAACCGCATAACCAACAAAGTCCAACAGTAAATAATTTGGTCAATTCGCAAACTCTTAACTCTACTTAAAAATTAATACCAGACATTTCAAAAAATTCATTTAGAGAATAGAATGGGTTGTTCAAAAGCCATCTGTAGAATTTTGTTTTAAAAGTGTTTTCAGGATATTTTTGTATTAAATGTATTAGTTTGTTGTATATTTTTAGTGAGATTACAATATGGCTTTTAAGAGTTTTAGACAGTCTGAAAAAATCTATGGTAGCAACGCTTTTATTCCTAGTATAATGAACATGAGAAATTTGTTTGATTAAGTTGGGATTTTTTAGAACGTATGATACAGAGTCAAATAAATAAATGTTAATCACTGTTGGAATTTGTAGCTGAATGAACAGGGGTTTACAGTGTTCCTGTTGGGGTTCATAGGATATAATTCTAACCAACTTCTTTTGTAAGACTAGAATTTCCTCTATCCTACTGCAATTGCCGTAAAATATAATATTGTATCTAAAAATGGATTGAAAATAAGCAAAGTAGGCTGTTTTAATATAATTTTGATCTATACAATGTATTAGTTTAGTCATAAGACAAATTACCCTTGAAAGCTTAGAACTTATGTAATCAATATGAGGTCCCCAGGAAAGAGTCTTATCCAGATAAATACCAAGAAATTTCACGTTGTCTACATAGCCATCCAACATATTTAATTCACACGGTCTAAGGCGAAAAACAATTTTTTTAGTTTTATCTTTATTTAAGAGGAAGCCATTAGATTCAAACCAGATAGAAGCTTCATTAATTGAGTTTTGAGCTAACTCTTGAAGTTGTTTAAGATCAGGATTAATATTTAAAAATGTTGTGTCATCTGCATACAAATAAGTTTTGCTAGTTATACATGCTGGGAGGTCGTTAATACAAATTAAAAATAACAGAGGACCTAGAACAGACCCCTGAGGCACGCCATATTTTATTTTTAATTCTTGGGACCAGTCTCCATCAATATTGACTTTTTGTGTTCTATTGTTTAAGTATGACTTGAAAAAAGAAAGTGGAGTTCCGTTGATACCGTAAAAACTTAATTTCATTATCAGGTCATCATGGTCCACACAATCAAAAGCCCTACTCAGGTCACAAAAAGTGGCCTGAGCAAGTGACTTCCTCTCAAAGACCATTAGTACCTCATTAAGCAATTTATCTATTGCGTCTGATGTACACTTGCCCTTTCTAAATCCAAATTGCGAAACACTTAAAAAGTTGTTTCTTTCAAAAAAAAATTCAGCTGATCAAAGACCATGATTTCAAACAATTTTGATACTACAGGAATGATTGATATTGGGCGATAACTTTCTGGAATGTCTTTTTTACCTTTTTTAAAAATGGGACAGACTCTGGTGACCTTTAATTCATCTGGAAAGACGCCTTCAAGGAGACAGAGATTAAAGCAGTAAGATAGAGGTTCAGCTAGATTACCAATTATCTGTTTAAGCAAACTATTAGACATAAGATAAACATCATTACTGCTAGAGTTTTTTAGTTTTTTTGTGGCTTTTATTAGATCATTAGGTGCGATAAAATTCCAGAAAAAAGGCACAGGAGTAATGGAAGACTTATTAACTAAATCTTTTGAACTGTAGGCATTACTAACAATTTTCATTTTTATGTTTTCAATTGATTCAATAAAAAATGTATTGAAAATATCAGGAGATATTTTAAGTTTTTTTGTATTGATTAAAGAGTTGCCACTGGTTTTAATGACTTGCCAAGCAGTTTTACATCTGTTATTACTTTTTTCTATGAGATTTGTGTTGTATTCTATTTTGGCCTTCTTAATTGAATGCTTATATTGATTTTTTTACCCATTATATGCTTGTTTTGTTTCATTTGAAACACTTCGACTATTTTTTACTATTTTATCAAGAAAAATTAATCTTTCTTTCATAACTCTTAACTCACTAGTATACCAAGCATTACTTTTTTTTTTTTTGAATTTTCAGTCTGAATTTTTACTACTTTAGAAAAATAAAAAATGTTATCTTTTAAAACTTTGAAAAACATTTTAAAGATATTTTCTGCTTTTGGATTTATACAATTAAGAACTTTTGTCCAATCATAAGTACCAAGCTTATCCACTAACACACCCACTGAATCTTTTGGCAAAATTACTTTAGAAAAGGAGTTCAAAGCAGCATATTGATTAACGCAATTTTTTCCCAAATTCAAAGTTATATTTAATAGAAGACCATTGTGGTCGGAGAAAGGAAAATCAAAAACTTTACAGCTTATGTTTGCATTTTTATTACAGTTTGTTAATACGTTGTCCAGGCAATTGTTGCCTCGAGTGGGGTAGTGATTTAGGAAGTGAAAATTGTGCTGGCGGAGTATATTAAGAAATTGTTTAGAGAGGTAGTTGTTCTGTGTCAAGTCAAAATTTTTATTAAAATCTCCTCCAATAATTGAAACATAATTAGTCCAACGAGAAAGATGAGTTAATAATTTATTAAAATTTTCAAGAAAAACCACAGGGTTGCCCGAAGGTGAGTGGTAGACTGAAACAAAAATTAATTTAAAATCCTCGATAAAGACCGCTGCTGCTTCTAAACTCATTTCAGAACAAAACTGGTCCA